CAGTTGTCCCGTAAAACAGAAGGCAGTCCACAGGGATGTGCCTTGGTGGAACGGGCAGCTGAGACGTCTGAAACAAGATGCCAGAAAACTGTTCAACAAGGCAAAAACTAACGGCAACTGGGCAGACTATAGAACAGCCCTAGACAAGTACAACCGTGAATTAAGAAAATCAAAAAGGAAATCATGGAGACAATTCTGCGAGGGGATTGACGAATTAGCCCCAGCTCAACGTCTCCAAAAAGTTCTTTCAAAAAACCACTCAAACGGAATTGGTCTGCTTAAAAAGCCAAACGGAGAACACTGTACCGACCATACAGAAAGTCTAGAGGTACTACTACAAACTCACTTTCCAGGTTCGGTAATCGTTGAAGCCCTGAACCAGGTCACTCTGCCTATCGAAGGGCCACAAAGCCCTAACGGCAGGAGCAAAAGGCTGGCTGGGAAAATCTTCACAATGAACAGAATAAAATGGGCGATCGATAGCTTCAGACCCTACAAATCTCCAGGCAAAGACGGGATTTTTCCCGCACAACTGCAAATAGGCTACGAGCACTAGCCTGCTCCTAGGGCACATACCGCTATCTTGGAGGGAAGCTAATGTGATATTCATACCAAAAACGGGTCGCCGACCCGAGGACGAACCAAAATCATATCGTCCCATTAGTCTAACCTCCTTTCTCCTTAAGACAATGGAGAAAGCAATCGACCAGTACATCAGAAGCGAAACTCTATTGAGAAGACCGCTCTACTCGAAGCAATTTGCCTATCAGCCAGGCAAATCCACGATAAGTGCTTTACACTGCCTGGTTAAAGACATTGAAAAGACAATCGAGTGCAAAGAGATCGCTCTCACAGCTTTCATCGACATAGAGGGTGCCTTTGACAACACCTCACATCAATCAATCGCCAGAGCATTACAAGAATGGGATGTTGAAGTTCCAATTGTAAAATGGATAGAGTCGATGCTGAAGCACCGTCACGTTACGGCTGAAATAAACGGAGCATCCGCTACCACGGTCAGAGGGTGTCCTCAAGGGGGTGTTCTTTCTCCGTTACTATGGACACTGGTGGTAGACAAAATTCTTACCAGACTGAGTAGTGCTGGATACCAGGTCATAGGTTACGCAGATGACCTAGCCATCGTAATCAAGGGCAAACATGAAGGTATAGTGACAAGCCGAATGCAAAGTGCCCTAAACATCGTTAAAAATTGGAGCGAAGGCGAAGGACTATCCCTAAACGCAAACAAAACAATCCTTGTCCCGTTCACAAGAAGAAGGAAGCTAAATTTGAAAGCCCCGACCCTTAACGGTACACAACTAACATTTTCCAACGAAGTGAAGTACTTAGGGGTCACCCTGGACCAAACCCTCACTTAGAACAAACAGTTAGAGAAAACATGCTCTCGAGCTACATCAGCCATTTGGTCATGCCGAAGACTTGTTGGCAAAACATGGGGGCTAAAGCCAAAGATGGTATTCTGGATCTACCAAACCATAATAAAGCCTATGGTCACATACGCCTCATTGGTGTGGTGGCCCAAAACCCAACAAGTCACCGCTCAGATTAAGCTAAGAAAGGTGCAAAGGCTGATATGTCTAGGAATAACGGGAGCAATGTCAACTTGCCCCACCGCAGCCCTAGAGACGCTACTCAACATGCCCCCACTTCACATATGTGTGAAAAAGGAGGCAATAACCAGCGCTCACAGGCTATTCCAGATAGACAAGTTCAAGCCTGGCGATCTGAGGGGACATCTGAAAATCGTTGATCTAATAACACTGGAGAATGCCAGCAAACCAAGTGACCACATGATGGTCAGATTGGACTTCGAGATCAACTTCGCAGTGGTAATAAACGACCGCCAATCATGGGAGAATAAAGAACTACCACAAGCAGACAATGCATCTCTGTGGTACACAGATGGATCCAAGCTAATGGTAGGAGCTGGACTGGGCATTTCCGGCCCTAACTTCAAGCTCTCCAAGGCATTGGGTAAACATCTTACAATATTTCAAGCCGAACTGCTTGCCATAGATATATGTGCACAAGAGTGTCTTAACCAAAGCCTCAAAAGAAAACACATCTTCATACTATCGGACAGTCAAGCTGCCTTAAAAGCCTTGAGGGCTTTCAAATGCACGTCAAAACTAGTCTAGGAGTGTAAACAGACCCTAAAAACACTAGCGACACATAACCAGGTAACGCTGATGTGGCTACCTGGTCATCGAGGCATACAAGGAAACAAAGAGGCAGATGGCCTCGCAAAGGAAGGGGCCTCAACACCATACCATGGACCAGAGCCCTACTGTGGCTTAATGAAAAGCCACATCATGGAAGAACTCAACAAATGGGAGAAAGACCAACTGTCATCATATTGGAGGCACACACCGGGACTCAGACAGTCAAAAAGGTTTATTACCCTTTCAGCAAAAAGAACTGAACAGCTCCTAAGCATGAGCAGACCAGACATCAGATTGGTGGTGGGACTGCTCACAGGACACTGCCCAGTAAAATACCATTTAAGGTTAATGGACAGAGCAGAAGACGATCTCTGCAGATTCTGCTCAGACGCAATAGAAACCGCAGAGCACCTGCTCTGCGAATGTCCAGCCCAATTCTGCAAGAGGCTCAAATTCCTCGAGGGGGCAACACTGTCACCAGAAGAAGTGGGCCAACTGACACCCAGGAAAATAGCTTCCTTCGGCAGAAGTCTACGCTTCCTGGAGACAAATTAAGATGTAGAGTCACGCACAAAATATCTGCAAAGGTAGCAGTGCTGAGCGGCTGAAAAGCCGAAACGACTCCCCCGAAATCTACAATCTACAATCCTTAAACATACCTGCTTGTTTACCTATTGCTGTAATAAAAAGGTAGGTAAAAAATCAGGTGTGTTTAAGGATAAATAGGCATTTTCAAACATTGAAATGGGCGTTATTCTGCAACACTGAGGTCTAATTCAAAAAATAGGACGGCAAAATGTACAGATTAAACAGCCCTTTAAAATGATCAATCACTCGACCCCCTGTCTCATTTGAAAATTTGGAGGTGGTAGCCCTAGGGCTTAGAGGGTTGAAGGGGCGAAGTCCAGTTTTACGTAAAGTCTGTTTTTTTTTTTAAAATAAGTCAAAACGACATTATGTTGGCAATACAATGTAAAATTGTCAATACCTTCAAATTTTTTATGTAGAAAAGGCTTGTGTTGCCAAAATAGTTACTAAATTTTTGACCTGGGAAATATTCCTCCTTACGCAGATAACGTGAGTGGCTAGTTTTGAAATGAAAGCTCTGTATATTAAAAAAGTTATAGGTTGTTCCCTATTCCTTGTGTCACCCTGTATAGTATACATATACCATATACTAATGCTGGTCTGCTGGAGTTGAAGTACTACTCATGATTATCTGGTGTAACAGGTAACAGATGATGAGGATTTTTTTTGGTTGCGGTTTTGGAGGTGGCGGTGGGTAGAAAGAATAGAGCAAGACATTTTATTGGGTTTTTCATTGGTATTTTATTGTTAGGTTGACACTGTTGACAGCAGGTAAGGTAAGGCAGGTATTTGTGTAATGATTACATACAGGGTGGGGCAGGAAAAACTTCTCACCCAGGTTTTCTCAGGTGTAGGTGATTGATTAAAAATCGCTCGAACACGTCAATTTTTGTTTTTTGGGGGTCACATTTTATTAGTATTTTCACCTCCCACCTGTCAACCCCTAAGTGAGGGTGACAGATACCCCCAAAATTTCAAATGAAAAGGTGGGTCGAGTGATACGTCATTTGATAGCTATTTTCATTAGGATTATATTCCTAAAGTTTTAAGTTGCTACTATTTACCCTGTCGAAATGGCGGCTTGTCAAAGTTAGGAAAAATCAATGGAAAAATGCTGTGTGGTTTTTACCTGTTACCTACGCATAGGTGTGACAGGTAAAAACTATACAGTTTAGGTTATCGAAAAAAAGCATTTATCCTAACTTTGACATGCCGCCATTTCGGCAGGTTAAATAGTAGCACCTGGAAACTTCGGGGATATAATCTTAATGAAAATAGCTACTAAATGACATATCACTCGACCCCTCTTTCCATTTAAAATATGGGGGTACCTGTTACCCCCACTTAGGGGTTGACAGGTAGGGGTGAAAATACCAATAAAATATGTCCCCCAAAAAACAAAAATTGACGTGTCTGAGCGATTTTTGATTAGGTCAAGGTGAACAAGAGCGACTTTTGTGTTTTGAACAAGTTTCAAGTGTTTTCCAAGTGAGACGTTCGTGCATAATTGTATTTTTCAAAGCTCTTTTGTTCTTCGGAACTGCCTTGCCCGCTGCGTCGGGAATTTATTCCACGTGAGAGTTGGAAACAGTGAAGAGAACCTCAGGATAATCTCACTGGCTAACAGACCGGGAAGTGTGCGCCTGGAAAGCCAGGCTTATTGAAGATAGAGGTATACATACTCGTGGGAACTTTTTGTTCTTTTAGTAACACTGACGTGTTCATTTTCAATAGCCGTCAGAACCCACTGTCACAAAGCACCGCAAAATGCCCGAATGCATTTGTGGGAAGAGCTTCGCCACCGATGAGGGAATGAGAACACACATCAGACGCCTAAGATGCAGAGGAGCACCCAGAGAGGACCTTAATACATGCACGTTTGCCGGAGTACGACAGCATATGCGCAGAGCGCACCCGGTTGAATACAACCAAGAGCTCGAAAATCAATATGAAGGCCAAGACAACTGGGCGGCAGGTGAAATGCTTGACGAAGAATGGTTGAAGGTCCTTCCTCTTTTGGTATGAGTGCTCAGCGATTGTAATCGTAATGTACCCAGTACTTCAGTACCCAAGCAGAAGGAGAAGTTATTGATTCTGCTTTAAGATTCAATGGTAACTTACTTTGTAGTAATCATAGTAGTTAGATCTATGTAGCTGGTAACAGATGGCACATGTGGTCAGTAATATAAAAAAAACTGGATTTTGAAAATATACGGGTCTAGTTTAAAATCATGTAAGATTTGTTTCTGCATCAATAACAAACCACTTGTTTATCAATTCTTGATAAACGAGATGAAAAAGATAGTATTTTATATTTATATTGTATCTCAAAGTTGAATATAAAGCTAATTTTTTGATATATTTGAAAGCCATAGATTGAACTGGAGTTTTGAAAGATTTCTGAGAAATTAGCGATATTTTTCTATATTAAATTTTTCATATAGCATTTGCATTAATGCATTTTTAACTATTTCACTTACTTATTTGTTCTTGGACAATACATTTCGACGGTTTGTAGAAAAGAACTGCCATCATAGCCACCGCAAGCATAAAGTTTGCCTCCTAACATTGCCACGCCCAAACGACACCTATTATAATAGAACAATTTGTTATAAATAATTGCAAATACTATCAAAAAGGTACCTTTTGGTAAGCATTGGCGGCGCTTCTGTCCAAGTATTCGTGGTCGGATTATACCGTTCAACGGAATCAAATATTGATAATCCATCGTGTCCACCCAACGCATAAATATTACCTAAAATTTCAAATGTTTAAAGTGTTTTGGAAAACATGTGGTTAGCTACCTTGGCACGCAATTACAGCTCCAGCACTTCGAGATTTATTCATGGGAGCCAACGAGCACCAAGAATTCGTATTAGGGTGATATCTTTCTACAGAATTTAATGAAGTAACACCGTCATATCCACCACAAACGTAAATTATGTCTCCCAAAGCTGTAGCACCTAGAGCACTAAATATACACTGAATCAGTGAAAATATAGGGTTCACAAAAGTATTTATTATTATGGTAGAGAGAAGTTGTGGGTTAAGGACGGGACGGAGTGGAAAGGAAAATAAAAAAATCGTTTGTTTGGTTATTTAATGAAAAAAGCTGTAGCATACCGCTTAAGTAAATTTACCTCTAGTCAGTCTGTGTTTGGTTCGTTCTGTATGTGCATTTACTTGGTGTTAATTTAAATTAGCGTATTTTTTAATGTTTTTTGGGGGCGTTAATGAAAATGAAATCTGATTTTTTGAAATTTGTCTGCAAAGAGAAATAAAAAAATCAAATTAGAATTGACTCAAATTTGGCATAAACATTCTTTGATCGATTATCTACAATCTGAATATTTTAGTTTTTCGATATTCCGCGTTATTCTCAAAATGGAAAGTGTATACCCACCCTGGGATGTCTATGCCTGGAACTATGTAACGAATGAAGATATTTTTTCTATCTCTATTGACTTCCTTCCTCCATTGATTTTGAAAAGAGAGAAGAAGACAGCGAGCGCCATAGAGATAGAAATAACGATCTCTGTCCATTACAATATAGTCCCAGTCCTGTTTGCCTATTTTTCAGGGTTTAGGTCGTTACGAACTATTTATTTCTAATAATTCACAAAATGTCTTGCCTTGATAAAGACCTGAATAAATGTCGACCAATTTGTAAATAAGGAAGTTTTATCCCACTTCATCCTTAACCCACAACTTCTGTCTATTATACATTAATTATACATGTTATTTTTAATCAAAAATCATTACCTACCTTCTTTTGCATATCATAGGGGTGACCACACTCCATTTCTTCTGTATGGCATCGTAAACTTCCACGCTGGACAGCCGGTCCTTGCCGTTATAACCTCCGAAAGCGTACAAGTTATGTTTTATCACAGCCACGCCCAAACGAGATCTCATCATTGACATTGCGGGCGCCAACATCCATTTTTCGGTGTTTGGGTCGTAGTATTCCACAGTCGACAAAGAGTCACCTAGGAGATCATAGAGTTCAAATAAGTTCTCGAGAAAGATATTAAAGTAGTTGATAAGGATTTTATGTAGATTGGATTATCCAAATATTTGTTGTGTATTGCTGAACACACCTACGAGTGTGTATATACGAGCCTTATAGCAGGGAGATGTTTGCAGGCAAACAGCTATATAGTTAAGGTCCGTTTCACCAGGGTTCATACTTGACCTTGAAACTTGAAAAAAAAGGGTTGTCGTAGATTAATTCATATAACACATTCAATTTTTTGACAAATTAAAATGAATGACTTCTGGTTTAAGAACCGACGAACCTTTTTGTCGTCATTGATTTGTTTCAGTTAATTTTTATTTGTTAAACGAGGAAGGCAAATGCTGGTGGCAAGTACAAACCCTGGCGAAACAAACATTACTTATAGACAGTCAGATAGGGGCTGTTTAGTGGAGTCATTTTTTTTTGTCTGGCATTTTGAGGGCTGAATGTGGCTACTAAGCTGATGAGAATATGGGTGATTTTAAGGCCGGCCCACAGAGGTCATTCTACCTGTTTCAGGTGGTAATAAATCTGAAGTCTGATATACCATTTTTAAGTATAATAATTTAATTAATTTAAATATTTTCACGTCTAACACAAAAATGAAAGTTTTATTGCAACATGAAGGTATTCTGTACAGGGTGCTGGCATAAAAAACGCATATTTCAACATAAAAATATTCTCCTAAATTGCTCCTTTAAAAGCAATAATAAAATATATATAAAAAAGTTCCTTAGATATAGGCACTTCTTGGCACCCAAATTTAATATTTACAAAAACGCTAGAAAATATACTGACGAAAAAAAAAAAAATTCGACACAAACATGTGTAAACATGGAAGTCTGCAGCTTTTCCTATTTGTTTTTTATAAAAAATTAGTAATTATCAGTCACAGTATTTTCTTTAATTTTTTAGAGGCTTTTACATGTATCCGAAAATAGCGATAATACAGACATAAAAAGTACGTACCCAAGCCTTTCACAGGCTGAAATCACGATTTCACAAATCGGTTCACAAGCGCCTCAAAAAAGAATCGAACTTAGAGAATAAACATCGACCATTTCAAGCAAGAACACATTTTGAATATTGTTTTCACTTTTCTGGTCAAGAAAAATGAAAATACGATAAAATTAAAAAAAAATTGAGAAAGCATTCCATTCTAAGGAATGTTATCTTTAAGATAAGGCCAAAAAGAATTTTTTGTGCTACCCATTCTGTAAGTTGACTTTTTTGACCTACGTCCATGAACTGTAAGTGTCACTTACAGTCCGGGTCAAAAAAGTGTTGATATGAAAGGTGAAAATTGCTTGGTTCATATATCTGTCAAAATAATGTCACAAAAACACTCGACTTCTTAAATAAAAAACCCAAAACAAATTAAGGATACAATTTTATTGAAACAAATAGAAAATACCTAGACGTCAAAAAGTTGAAATTAGCATAAACAGATAGGTAATAATATAAAAATGAGATACTTCATAGTTATTTACTTTGTAATTTTGAAAGTAAAAGAAACATTTTTACAACTAGTCACATTTAACACAGGGATACTTTCCTGTATTGAAGAACTTAAAATATTGGAATGATATTTATTATCTTGAATGTACGGTAGCACAAAAAATATCATATGCACCTCGACTTGTAGCGTGTACTTTTTTGGCCTCAAATGCTTGCAAACCTCGGCCCTACGGGCCTCGGCGCGCAAACTGCATCCTCGGCCAAAAAAGTAATACTTACAAGCCTTGGTACATAAATAACTATTTTGTGCTACCCATTCTGTAAGTTGACTTTTTTGACCTACGTCCATGAACTGTAAGTGTCACTTACAGTCCGGGTCAAAAAAGTTACTTTTTTGACCCGGGCAAAAAAGTGTTGATATGAAAGGTGAAAATTGCTTTCATATCTCTGTCAAAATAATGTGACAAAAACACTCGACTTCTTAAATAAAAAACCCAAAACAAATAAGGATACAATTTTATTGAAACAAATAGAAAATACCTATGGCCATTTGGACCGACTATTTTAAGGTAGCCTAAGCGATAAGTATTCCTTAAAGTGACATTTTTCCATCTAAAACTGTCATTTTAAAAGATACCTACTTATCGCTAAGGGTTCCTTAAAATGGTCAGTGCAAATGACCATTAGACGTCCAAAAGTTGAAATTAGCATAAACAGATAGGTACCTAACTAGTAATATAAAGATGCGATACTTCATGGTTATTTACTTTTTAATTTTGAAAGTAAAAGAAACATTTGTACAATTAGTTACATTTAACATAGGCATACTTTCCTGTATTGAAGTCGAAGAACTTAAAATATTAGAATCCTTACTACTAAAGGAATCCTCGACTATCATAGAGGAACTTGTGCTGGGAGTTGCGGATTCAAATCTTGTATTCTCGCTGCTACCTAGAATTCTTCTGGCCGTATCTACTTTATTTGCACTTGAGTCGGCCACATAACTTTCCGCGACTGTGGAAGATCGCCACCCTCCGTGCCTTTTTAAAGCGAGAACATCCGCACCCGTATCTGCCAAAAGTGTTGCCGAAGTTCTTCGAAATGAGTGTTCCGTGTAAGACTCAGGATTGTCCAAATTCAAGTACTTGGCAATATTATAAGGTACTTTTCCAAGGGTATTTTTACCAGCAACTTGATTGACACATTTCCCTACCTCATACCTCAAAATGAGTCGTCTATGATCAGTGTTCTTGGGCCTTAAGTTAAAACCCTTGAACGGCTAGCGTTACCGTATGGTATCAGTGACGCACATTTTTATTTAAATCAAAATTGCCCATTCCTATGAAAAAATACGTTTATAGGTTATGTCAACCAGTTGTTCGATCGTATTTTGAGCCGATTTATAATTTGCTGCACTTTTAGTTTTTTTGGTTTTGGTGTGACATTGTGTCAAATTTGAAAAAACATAATGGCCGATCAACCGTTGGACTTTTGTTTACAGTAAGTACCATGATTTTTATATTTCAGTTATAATCGGTGCAAAAACAGTGATTTATGCCAGATAACTGTTCCACCTTTATAGTTGATTAGTAATGGTGATGTTATAAATCATGTTTTTGCTCTCTCGCGTGTGTTTTTTCTTACGTTACCAAATGGTAACGCTAGCCGATTATGTAGTCAAAACATTTTTTTTTTCAGACGGGGTTTTACTCTCGAGGAGGCTCTAAATATGGTCTATGAGGACGACTTGGATGTTAGAGAGATTTTCCTGGAACCTCCAGACACCAATGTTCTTACAGACGAGGACTCAGCCGAAGAAGATGAAGGAGGTATGATTGACAATCTCAACAGACAGCAGCTCTCAGCTCATGTTAAAATAAAACTTCACAATGCTGAGACAGAGGCCGAGAGTGAAATAGAGAACGGACCGGAGGTTACTCAAGCCGATGAAACTCAAATCCAAGAAGTTATTGAAGTTGAAGAGCCTGCTGTTGTAACTCACAATTTACCAGAGCGTCCAGGTAAGACCAAAATAACTTGGGCAGATGGAGACCTTTTTCCGACACCAAGGGAATTTCCAAAATCAGACCGCTTACGATATGTGAATTTGACACCCGTTGAAGTATTTGAAAAGTTTATAGATGACGAAGTTGTTCAATATATTGTCAACGAATCTAACAAATACGCGTTATTCCTAAATCATGCAAATCCGAAAATTACAATTGCTGAGATGAAATGCTGCCTAGCAATTCTCATCCTGACAGGATATTCAGAACTACCTGGTAGAGATTTTTATTGGGACTCTCAAGATGATATGAGAAATCAAATGGTTAGCAATGCAATGCGAAGGGATAAATTCCGGCAAATACTAAGATACTTACACTGCGCAGACAATACAAAACCTAATCAATCCGATAAGCTTTGGAAACTTAGATCCATCATGGACATGCTAAAACAATGGTTCATAGAAAACTGGATTCCAGAGCAAGACTTGGATTTCGACGAATCGATGATCAAATACTTTGGGCCGCACTCTTGCAAACCATTTATTCGTGGAAAGCCAATAAGATTCGGTTACAAGATGTGGTGTCTGAATGCTCCATCAGGATATTTGGTCAATTTTGATTTGTACCAGGGGAAAAATCCGAAAGGAAATCATTCTTTCGAAGAAGAATTTGGGAAAAATATTGCACCAATGATAAATATGATACACGAGTTTCCAGAAGCTGTTAGAAAACTGCCCTTTCGTTTTTATTTCGACAATTTGTTCACTAACTTCAACGTGTTATTTTATCTGAAACAACTGGGATATGATGGCACAGGAACAATTCGAGAAAATCGCATTCCTAAATCTTGTCCGTTACTAAATAAAAAAGATGTTTTGAAACAAAAAAAAAGGGGAGAATTCACTTCAAGTCTGAATAAGGATGATGGTATTATTGTTGTCAAGTGGGTCGATAACAACGTCGTCGCTGCAGCTTCGACTTGTTATGGTATAAATCCAATCACCAAAGTAAAACGATTTTCTCGAGCAGAAAAGAAGATCATATATGTTGGCCGTCCATCACTTCTAACAGAGTACAATCGCTTCATGGGGGGTAATGATTTGTTAGATGAGAATGTTGCCAGATATAGAATCAGTATTAGGCGCAAAAAGTGGTGGTGGGCAATTTTCACCTGGCTGTTGGATGTTTCAGTGGTGAATGCTTGGACTATTTACAGGAAGCATGAAGCTATTTCTCAGTTGAACTTCAGAAGACAAATTGTGCAATCATATCTCACTAAATATGGAGTTCCTCCTAAGGGAGCAGGGAAGCCCGCAATATCACGTTCGAGCGTAACTCTGAATAGAATATCAGATGATCTTCGATATGATGGTAGTAACCATTTACTCGTGCCAAATGAAGGCAAGAAAAGGAGAAGATGCGCTGGTGAAGGCTGTTCGTCTAGTATAAGAACTAAATGTCGTAAATGTGAAGTAGGTTTATGCATTGACTGTAACGAAATATTTCA